TCGGGTGTCTTTGAAGAAGGGGCACAAATCAAGCCATTATTTTCACACCTTTTTAAATCGCGCAGCTTTAAAAAAAAAAAAAAATCACGTCTTTCAAAAGGGCTCTTTTTTGGACTGAGGGCAAAAGGGCAAGTGCTTCAGCACCACCTCGTCTCTATCTGTGCACGCCAGTGCTGGTAACCTTGTGTGTTATATGGAAAATTGCTTCTCCTGCAGAAAATGCTGTGTGAATTTGTAAAGCTGATAGCTAAACCTGAAAGGAATTTCAGACCAGCTGAAAAATGCAGAAATCTTCACACTAAAATACATTGCACTGAACTACTGATAAGCTTGGAAGATGAAATGCAAAACTTGCAGAAGCTGAAACGCATGCAAGTATACTTAGACATAAAGTAGTATTTGGGTGAAATAAACCTTTAAAACTACAAGTAGTTAGAACGCATTTACATAAGTATCATTTATTGAAGTTAGTTTGGAGCACAATGAATGCATTTTGATTACAGTCATGAAGTTGAAACACACTGTGTTCAGATCTGATGAACTTTTCCAGAGTGTTGAGTGTGTAATTTAATGTCTGCAATGAGTCAATATCATTTGTCAAACATTTGTATGCTGAGATACAGTATTTCCTTCCAACTTCAACATAAGAGTGGATGAGAGGGGTTGACTATACCAGCTAAATGACAATGAAGACTGAAATTTTGTTCTGATATTCTTGCACCCAGGATGCTGATGGTCAAATCAGAGATCAAGACAGTGATGAAGATCCTAGTTACCAAAGGTGCCACAGCATCTGATCCAGCCATTGCGAGTATCATAATCGAGGGAACAAAAGTCATGGGGGGGTTGAATGTACTGAGGGCTTGTGCCTTGCTGATGGGACTCATCTATGCCCTCAATCTGAGCTACCCAAGAGAGCTGAAGTACACCTTTGAGGTGTTTCAGATGGTGTTTCTTAAATTAGATGGTCAGAAAACCACCCCAAAAGTTACGTCTCTTAGGCGGAAGCTGCCAGCAATCATCTTTGAACATCAAACATGGATCTCACTTGCTGTTCCAATTGTTCCCCCCCCCACCCCCCCGATGTTGCAGTCAAATACCATCCAGACTGCAGGTTAGATGTCTGGTACTGCTACTGTTCAATGCTGGAGTTTGATCTAAAAGTAATTTCAGTGTTTTTCATGGTTTAAGTCAGGGGTCTCCAACTCCGGTCCTGGAGAGCTACTATCCAGTAGGTTTTCTGTCCCACTTGGCTTCTGATGAGCCACACCTGGCCCTGGTATTTACCTGAGAACAGGTGTAGTTCATCAGAAGCCGGGTAGGATAGAAAACCTACTGGACGGTAGCGCTCCAGGACCAGAGTTGGAGACCCCTGGTTTAAGTATAGCTTGGTTTCTGCAGACCCAGGCTGTTAAAAGAAGTTGCTTCAACATCTATTACAATGCGAATGTTTAAGTGAAACAAATAAGCTATGTTAACATTCATTGTTCTTATTAAACCCTTAAAAAGAACTCAGTAAATGTTTAAGCGAAATAGAAGCTTACTCAGTAACGCCACATTCATTACTAAGGAGTTACTGTGTGTTTCACTTTATAATACTGTTCTTGTTCTTTAGTAGCTCCTATGGAAGAAGTCAGTAACGCCACATTCATTACTAATGAGTTACAGTGTGTTTCACTTTATAATACTGTTCTTGTTCTTTAGTAGCTCCTATGGAAGAAGTCAGTAACGCCACATTCATTACTAATGAGTTACAGTGTGTTTCACTTTATAATACTGTTCTTGATCTTTAGTAGCTCCTATGGAAGAAGTCAGTAACGCCACATTCATTACTAATGAGTTACAATTAGTTTTATGTAGGTCATTAGTAAGACAATTCCTTATTTAAAATGCATACATTAATTTCTTAATGTTTAGAAAAGATCAACAATATGTGGTGGAGCACATCATGTGGCAAAACACGAGTCTCTGATTGACCATCCCTTCAGTTGGACTTCAAAGCACAGTTTGAAGAACACTGGCACACGGACTGAAGTGAGGTAAATAATTAAAATGTAGGTACTGTATACATATTTTAGGCAGTAATATTTTGTAGAATAAGTTGTATGTCATACAAACAAGTAGGAAGAAACAAGCCTGTTATTCTAAAAGGAAAAAAATGGCAAAAACCATTGAGAACAGTAGCCTGTAAGTTCCTGTTAGTCCAAAAAAAAGCACTGTTCATATGATGAGTAATGAACTAGTAGTTATTAGAAATAATCCATAGTTGGTACATAATTCCCAATGAGACCAGCAATACTCAATAGTTCCTAATGAAGTAATAGCGAACTACTATAATAATTAGTTCACTATTACCTATTGAGTAATTAAGCATAACTCCTTAGTAGTTAATAGTACCAATTTAGGTGTTAATGAAGCACTACTCCTTTGTTGCTGCTTACTTCCTGTATATTTACCTGTTAACTACGGAACAGTATTATAAAGTGTTACCACGGCAACAATACTTCGCGAGGTAGCCTGCTTAATCACCGTCCTTTTAACTATAGGAGGTGCGGTTCAGGCGTGGTCCAGGTCCCGATGTGACAGTTATACTGGTGATATTAATAACTCAGATTATTACTCAAATGTGTCTTTAAATATTAAGGAAATCTAAATGAACCTGCTTAATTTCATTGGCTGGAGAAATATACAATTTTAAGTAAAGACATTAAATTGAATACATATTCTTTGGTAGTTTTCTAAGCAAAAGTTACCTAAAATTTTAAGTAGAATATACTTAAAAACAAGGGTGCAAAAATGGTGCACTATATTTTTGAGTAAAATCAGCTAATTTTTTTCAGTGTATTTTACGCTCCTGAATTTAAAGCTATAAATCATACAATGTACGATACAGTGTGTGTGTGTGTGTGGCATCACATTTAATGTAATACAGTTGTTTTATTTTGATCATACTCAGATTCAGTGTCGTTCGTAACCTGGAGACAGCCTGTATCCACATCCTTCTCGCTATTTGCCTTTATGATTTGAATTGAATTGAACTGCCGTTTCCTTTTATCGATGTTTAAATTAGGCTATTCGAGGATGAAGTACTAATCAACTTCGGAGAAAAATTAAGGCATCCATCCATCTGTTTCCTATAGACCTACCCGCTTGTTTTGTGCAGGGTCCATGGGGGTCAGGGGCCTATTCCCGTGAGCTACCGGCGCAAGCAAGGGAATAACCCAGGATCGGGCGACAACCCATCACAAGGCACACACGCAATTCACTCACACATCCACAGAACAAAACATGCTATGGTTTATTGGAGTTGCATTTAAGGCTATATTTGTATATTTTCATGTAATATCTGCGGCTTTCAGTGATATTATTGTGAAGCTTATTTCCTGCGGTGATGGCATGCATCCCATAGTAATTAGTGTCCTGCGTGTATAGCTGTTAAACAAGGCATACACAGACAAAAATCCCAGAAAAAAAATGGGTCGGCAGCGTATAGGCGGTTCATATGGGTCCATTGCAAAAAGCTTTATTATTATTATTATTATTATTATTATTATTATTATTATTATTATTAATAATAATAATTAATAATAATACTTATTAATAATAATAATAAACAATAATACTACTACTAATAATAATAATAATAATAACAATAATTAAAAAAAAAACCAACGGTCAAAGGGCTCTTTTACCGTAATATAGTCCTATAGTCACCTATATATCCGACCTGCCCCTCCTGTTCTACGACATAGACCGTAGTAGTGGAATGCGAAAATCGGTCTAGCGCCGCCTTTTTCAGGTGTAGGCTACAAACTGGAAAGCAACTCCGGAAGAAGCAGTGCGCAGAAAAAAAAAAAAAAGAAGAAGCAGTGCGCAGTAAAACCACTAGATTTTTCCGGCTGATGGTAAAAGCGGTCGTCCTACAAGCAAGGATGGACGCTGCTATAGAAAGATTGGTAAGTTAAAGCACTGATTTTCACATTTATGCGTATAACATTTACCGTGTGTTATAGGATATAAATCTACATCAAATGGCGTTCATCTTTGTGTTCATACTTTTAATACAGAGACATAAAGTGAATGCCGAAAGATTGTTAATAAATCGCAGATCTTCACATTCATGCGCATGACATTTACAGTGTGAGTATTATATATAAAGTTATATATAAACTGGCATTCGTATTTGTGTTTGTATTCCTTTTAACACAGAGACGTAAAGTAAAGGACGAAGGTGATACTGCGGATATGTGGCTATTCAAACAGCCGATTGCTGTCATCTGTAACTTTGAGGATGAACTCGGCCGAATGCCTTTGTACGTATTCTAAGCATTTCTCTCTGGGCACTTGTCTGCATCTTGTCTTGACCAAATTTGTCGCGCAGGTAACAGTCGTATTTCAACCGCAACAAGTTTAAATACTGTATTCATAGTGGTCTCATAAACAGCATAAAACTGGTGTAATTATACATTTTGCCAAAATTAAACTAATAGCATTATTATTTTAATAGCCTTTAGCATGTTAATATCACGGTGAAGATCCATAAAACGTTATACTGCCATAATGTGAAGGCATGTCAGAAAAATAAGCTGGATTTTTGTGCCTTCGCTTTGCAGAAACCTGTTGCTGTACAGCACGGAGTATTTGCGCCTGTTCTGCTATAGAGGGGTAATGGACGTCCACCCAGAAGAGCTACTGCAGAAAACGTGTTGTTTCATCAAACAGTTGGCAGAATGCGTGAGTATCTCCTATGTGGCCTCACCGCGATGGATTCTAATTAACCAATGCACGATTTAGACTATATTACCCCTTTCTCCTCTATTCTCCGTTAGCACGGTAGCCATCGTGTGTGTTGGAGGTTGCGTTTGGCTCTATTATACCTTAAGTGTATAATTCCAAATAAACTTGCGTTTTTGTTCGGTTGCAGAACTGGAATCTGGAATTCACGGAATCAGGGCTCCCTCTTCTAGTGGACCTTCCACCAGCAGCCAGCTAACTACGATCGGATGATGAACTCACATCTGAATCATTGGCGGAGCGAGGGGGTGGCTTACTGGGCTTAAGCCCGGGTTGTTGTTTCAGAAGCCCAGGGTCTTTTGGAGTGTAATTTGTTTCATAGTTAGATGCCTGACTGACAACTGTATAAAACAAAAACTACACACAATATTCGAAGCACATAGCGCACAGTCGTAAATTCCCCCTAATTTTGGTATGATTCGAGCTCAGGCACTAGGCGACTGAGCACAGCACTTACGCATGTGAGCGAGGGGGGAGAAGCTGCTGCCTGCGAATTTGCTGTAGGAGAAGTGCAGATAGGCAGACAGAGGAGAGCTTAAGTTTGACCAGGTACCAAAGCAAACCATTCGTACTGTACAAATAATGTCGTATATGTCGTGTACTGTATAAATATGACGCTGACAAAAGATTGATATCAAACTGATCACTTGAACCATATTACGTTACTTGCTCTTCGAGTGAATCAAGAAATGGCGAAATGAAAAGCCGAACAACAATGGTGTTTTTTATAGAGAGTCTTAGCTTACGTGTGTGTTTATTTCATATTTCAGTTGTTACCCTCCACGGCTAAATAAAGCACTCTAAATTGGTTTCAGTTATGTACTGATGTACACAACAATGGACATAAGGGGCTTCTTTCAAAGAAAAAACTCAGGTAAATGTTATTTTATATATTATGCTTTGTATGTT